GTAACCACTAGAGCCCGTTTTCGTTCGCTTTGATTGTTGGACTCCAAAAATAAAATCCCGCTCGTATTTTTTCCGCCTAGGACTTCGGACCAATAATTTCCAACAATCATGCCACTTGAATGGTTTTCCGACTTCCTCAAGGTAAAACTGCAACGCTTCTTGAAGTATTTCTTCGTCGCCTTGGCCGCTTTTTCGTTGGGTTTTTAGGTTGTTGTACAACCCGTTAATTTTTGAAACCCCCCTTGCTATTTCTAGAAACTTCGAATTAAGTTGATGTTTCGTACGGCAGTCGTCACATTTTCCTAGCTCCTCTCGAAATCGTTCTAAAATGCGAAACCAAAAATGTTCTCCCGGTTGTGCGTTTCCCTGAATCGAATCTTCAGAAATATCAACCCAAGCTTTGACCAAAACTAGCTCTTCGTGTGGAACCCATGCTCTCGGCTTTTGTCTTCCCGGTTGTGCGACACCCTCGCGCACTTGTTTTTTTCCTTTTACGTCTTTGTGGTGGTGGTGTTGGTTGAGTTTCGGGAACCATGTCTTCTTCTTCCGCGTCATCCGATTTATCGACAAGTTGGTGGTGGTGTTGGGTTTGGGTTTGAGTTTCAGTGTGAGTTTGGGGTTGAGGTTAATTTGGCGATTGTTGATCCGGAAACACAACAAAGTTTGAAAACATTTGCGACAGAACATTTGGAACTTGCATCGGGTAATATTGGCCAACATTTTGGTATTGGAATTGTAGTGGGGATTGAATGGGAGCACCGAGTTGGGGCGGTAAACTCCTTGCGGGGATGAATCGATAGCAAAAATGTTGCGAGGAGGGATGTTTATACTCGAACCATGGCTTTTTTTTCCTTCGATCGGAAGTTGGGATTTGCTTGTCGGGATTCATTTTTTTTTTTTTGATATAAAGTAGAGAGAATACAGGATAGTGTGATGTTTTTAAGTTATATGTATGTATTTATAGTAGTGGTAAAAGGATAAAAAAACAAAACAAAACTGGCCGTTACAGCCAAAAAAAAAATTTACATTTTTTACCGTTATTCAACGGTTGTTTTTCAACAAAAAAAATAAAAAAAAAGGGCCGGCCAATCGCAGCAAGAGAGAGAGAGAGAGAGCGGGAGAGGCTCCCCTCTCCGTTTCCCGCACAACCCTTTCCCGCGCCGACAGTGTGGTTTTCCGCCGGGCGGGAAGCTCCTCGCTTCCGTTCCCCGCGCCCGCTCCGTCCGGCCTTAGAATAACCAAAAGAAAAAAAATATATTAAATTAATATATATACCATATCTTCAACAAAAAAAACACTTTATATTAAATTTGCATTATAAATCCAATTTCATGAACTAATATCTATAAGAAAAGATTATGATCAAGAAATAAATAATGGGGTTGGATTATACATCAAACTAGATTTTATATAATAATATAGTTTTTAAATATCGGTCAAACATATTTGGTGTTGGATTGACTAAAAAATTATTTGTTTTTATTTTGGGCAACAAAAGTTTTATCTACTAGTAAGGTGTTTGATCAAAAAGAATCATTACAAAGAAAGTATAACACTATTTAGCTTAGTACTTTTATCTAAAAAAACCTAGAAAAATAAAAATTGAAAAACAACCTTGTCTAACAATGTAGCATCTTTTAGCTTTACTGCCTCAAAAATAATTGAGTTCGGAGAGTTCCAAATCACAAAATAAGCCGTGAGAACCATTGCTTCCAGGAACTTGCTTTGGACCATATTAAGCTTCACTTGATGAACCCATTTAGTAAACGACAAAAAAGGGAGGTCAAAATCCCACCCTCAACTGATTTAATGATTTTAATCCCAAAATGGACAATGCCACTGCCACATGACAACATAATAAAATATGGTCAATGATCTCTAAGTTTCCATCACAAAAAGAGCATAATAATGTCTCCATATTATTCATGCATTTGGCAAAGTTTACTCTAATTGGCTTTGTTGTGTCTCACCGTATTCTCCAATCCAAAACAATGAACATGATAGATACCAAATTGTTCTATTTAGGGGTCGGTTGATAGTTGTTGGCTGAGTTAGAGCTGATCGGATTAGAAGCTGATTGGGTTAGAAATTCTGACTGAGTTAACTTCTGACTGAGACTTGCTGTTTGATTTATATCTGACTGACTGTGCAAAATGACTATATTACCCTTAAACAATATTTTTTATAATAATACTTTTACGCAATAATCTCAAATCATAATATATTATTAATTAACTTTATTTATGCAATAATCTCAAGAACATGAAGATTAAAACAAAAAAATCAACATATCTCTTGATTGTCTTCACCTTCTTACCAATTGAAAACTATAAAAAGGAACACATGTTTGCATTCATATGTACCTGGATTGAACCATTATCATATGTTGTTGCTATAAAATATGAAATACAATGATCTTTGTTACAATTTATAAAAACAAATCATACAACTGTGAAAGACAAAAACTTGAACTCAGAGACAAAGGTTGTCACACTTGTAAGACACCCAATTATGCAATTCAAAGAAGCTAGTTTTGTGATGTATCCAAATCTCTAACAACTTGCACACAATGAGTAATGCACGTGTTTAATATTGTTCTTCATCCAATCCATATACATCATTCCAGAATTTCATGTCCATTTGCTTCTTCCAGCTGACTCTGCATCATTAGCCCCTTCTCATATTCATCACAATATTTAACATCACATATATTTAATCACTCAAATGGAGTTTAGTTACATTACCTTCAACTATTTCTGTAACTGTAAATGCAAAGTGAGGTCTTCCAGTTGCGCTTGAAGCTTATCCTTTGCTTCTTGGAGTGCACTTGTTTCCCTTGCAGTCTGTATCTGTTGAAAATGAGCAAACCAACAAATATGTGCAGTTTCACGTGAAGCTTTGGAACGTCGAAATTGATAGAATCAGAAGGGATCAATTGCAATTGAAAAGAAATCAACCCATTTGAGATGCTTCAGGGGGTTGGGCCACAATGAAGGAGGTGGTCGACTGTGAAGAGGATGGCGGCGATGGAGGTTTCCAACGAGGATGAAGATGATAGATAGAGGCGATAGAGAGGGCGAGTACTGAAGTTTCTGGAGAGGACCGGTGGTGGAAGGAAGGAAACGTTGCTTGGATCGATTGAAGTTTCTGGAGAGCTGCGTCCAGGGCAAGGGAAAAAGGCGTCAAATTTTCAGTCAGCCTTATTATTTTAGTGGACCGAGTATGGAAGTCTGAAGAACGTAATTTCGCTGGTGGAGTGGAGGCGATGCGTATACGCGATGGAGAAGAAGGCGCCTGCAAAAGAAGGAGAAGGGCAAGGATGGAAACGATGATGCTTGGTCTCGGTTAGGAGGTTTTGAGATGAGGACCGAATCCTCTGATTTCTTTGGACCGAGTCCTTTCTTTGGACTGAGTCTGTCGATAAAACATCCAAATCAAACACAACAACTTCTGATTGAGGACCGAGTCCTAATTTTTGACTGAGTTAGCATCAATATCAAACAAGCCCTTAGTTATTCGAGTAATAACTAAATTCTAGGAAATCAAGTTTTCAAAGGAACATCTCTCGACCAAATATCATCAAGTGACTATCACTCGTATTTTCAAGCAAAAAGGATTAAAATCAAGACATTTTCCCTGAATTTAATTGAAGCTTCCTTGACTCAAATATGTAAATTCTAGTAAATCAATTTTTCAATGAACATCTCCAACCACATATCATCCAAAAATCTAATCAAGTGATCGTCACTCGTATTTCCAAGAAAAAGGATAAAGATCAATACTATTACCCAAAGTTGATTTGTTAATTTTAAGATGTGAATCCAAAGTGTGCTTGCATGACTACGAACAAGGTTACACAAAAAATGCTCCCAAAGGAGACTTATGGTTGAGACAACCCCAATGGCGAGTGGACGGAGGTTCATCGGAAGTCAAGGCCCTCACAACACAACACATAGGACATACACGTAACTTCATACTACGTCTCAAACCTTCCATTTGGAATCAATAAATTCAAGATAAGAAAGGTGTTTGAAATTTTTGGGAAGGTGGTAGACATATACATCGGTGGGAAGAGAGATAAAACTGGTTTTATCTTTGCTTTCGTAAGATTTGAAGGACTAAGGGACGCGAAAACATTGGAGCAGGAAATGTCAAGAGTTAGATGCGACCACTGTATACTCAACGTTAACATCGCCAAATACCAAAAGCAGTCCAAACCCAATATTGGTTTTGAGGCGATGCGGCGGCCACCACTTCCTCCTCCCCCCATACACCTACAACGTCCCAAACCCTATGTGTTTCGCGGTCAGAGATCATACGCAGAAGTGGTAGCATCTGAATGTCGTCTAGAGGAGTTTTCCGGTTCCATTTGTAGCCTTGTCTTGGTCAAACATGTTATGGCTTGCCGCGGTTGGGAAGCCTGCATACTGTCTGCTGAAGTCATCAACACGCAACACATCTCGTCAATGCCTACTTTACTCAAACTTGACAACAATGTCAGTGGGAGGATCTATTACACGGGTCGTCTCAAATTGATGATTAAGTTCATAACCCCACAGGACGCTAACGCTTTCAATTCCAATGATGATAATTGGAATAGATGGTTTTCATGGCTCAAAAAAGGTTTCAATGATAGCATGGAGTTTGATAGAATCACCCGGGTCAACATATTCGGAGTTCCGACACGATTTCGCTCGAATGACAACTACTATAAAATCATGGAAGGTTTTGGCACCGTAATTGAGACTTATGGTGGGAACTGGGATGCTCTTGACATATCAACCGGCCATATATTCTTACTTACCAAATCTAGGAAAATGATAAATGAGGAAGTCGAGATTAAATATGGTAACATGTCCTATCGAGTGGGTATAGTTGAATTTTATAGAGATTGGTCACCATTCGATGTCATAATGGGGGATCATCATTGGTTCAAGCACTCTGAGAATGCTCCTGATGGGGACGATGATGTGTGTTCGGTAAACTCAATCAGTTCCGCCAGTGAAGAGAACGAAGAGAATGTCGGGGATTCGGATGACGGGGTCTCTGAAACGTGGGTAAACCCTAACACAGAGAATGAAGAGCCACAAGAAGGTGAGATCGTCGAAGAACACACCCCCGACGACCTTACGGTGGTGAACGATTCAATTACGCCGTTGCATGTTCCGATGAAATCTCCATCAGGCTTGCCGGACTAGGGGAATTGCAATGACGCTATAATGGTTGATGTTTCTTCAACTCCCTGCATTAACTCCATACATTCTCCCAATGTCGATTCTTTGAATGCGGATCCAACGGATAACAATTTTAATGACTATAATAGGGACCCGACCCATGTTCCAGAGCCCACTACTATTCTAAACACGAATCCCATTCCATATATCCCATTACCTGGTGGCGATGACTGGCCCACGTCTCCAGACCCGATCCATGATACCCATCTCTCCCCTAATTATGGTAAAGGTGAGTCATTAGATAAGAGGCACAAAATTCTTAATCCCTTCTCCAGGAATACGTTGGATCCCATTCAAAAATTTCTTAATTTCGAAGACCGGACCCCGTTGCCCTCAGCATCTAGTCCTTCGTCTTGCAGATTATTTGCCTCGGCGCCCCCACCAGACCTAAACCATTCGGTTTCTCATGTAAACGTTCCTGGTAAAGACACCTCATCCATGGAAATTTTGAATACACTTAAGATTGGCAATGATGTGGTTTTCCATATTACGATTGATGATCCTATGGTATATGATGTGCTTGGCAGAGGTGCTGGTGTTGAAGAGAACTCTCAATGAATTGTTTATGTCTTAATGTCAGGGGGTGTGGTGAATCACAAAAAAATATTTTGGATACGCAAAATCAAAAACTCTCACAAAATCGATTTCATAGGTTTACAAGAAACTAGGGTTGCTGATTCAAATGATATATATTTCACGGGCTTGTGGGGAAAATCAGACTTCGAGGTAGCTTTCATTAATCCGGTAGGCAGATCAGGTGGCATTATTAGTATACGGGACCCGACAATCTTCATTAAATCTCATATCACATCCTCTAGAAATTACTTAGTTGTATCTGGACATTGGAAAGTTGTTCCTGGCATCACTATACTCGTTAACATGTATGGTCCTCAATCGGCAACATATAAAAGAAAACTTTGGGATGAGCTTCATAACCTCAAACAAAGTATTGATGGCATATGGATCTTTTTGGGTGATTTTAATGTTGTCAGATTCGATCATGAAAGATTTAACTCGTGATTCTGCCATGTAACCGCACAAGATTTCAATAACTTCATAGCAAGTGTTGGTCTCCAGGAGTTCAACCTTGGTGGCAAGAAATTCACATATCTTTATGACGACGGTTTAAAATTAAGCAAGCTTGATCGCTTTCTCGTGTGCTCCAATTTCATCGCCCATCAACCACTTAGGACTGTCGTGGTCCTCCCTCGTGACTACTCTGATCACACTCCACTAATTCTCAAACCCTCCAATCAAGATTTTGAACCCCCCCTCATTCCGCTTTTTTAATTCCTGGTTACTCCGGGCAGATTTCAATGAAGCCATCTCTAGTGCATGGAACTCTTTTAGGGGTTTTGGAGCACCTGATATGTACCTCAAAGCTAAATTGAAATTTGTTAGGAAGTTGATTAGCAAATGGCGCAAACTGGAATCCGATAATGAAGCCAAAATTTTACTGCATTTAAAGTCGGAGGTTGAACTGCTTGAATCATGTGCTAAATCAAGAGTTCTCACAGAGGATGAAGACAACACTCGTAGAGCTCACAAATCTAATATTGTAGAGTTGGAGAAATTCCCTAAACAAGATATTCAACAAATGGCAAAGATAAGGTGGTTAACTGACAGTGACGAAAACTCTCATTTTTTTCATGGAGCTGTCAAGAATAAAAACAGGAAGAATCGATTACATGGCCTGCTCATCAATGGGGGTGGGAACATTGAACCATCCGCAATTAAGACAGAGGTCCGTCGATTTTTTGAGAATAAATTTCTTGGTAGATGGCCAAGTAGACCGAAGTTTATCTCCAATGGTTTTAAACCATTATCCTCTGTTGACAGTGATTTCTTGGACTCTCCGATCACTGTAGAGGAGATCCAAAAATGAAATTTGGTGTTGTGGTGGCGATAAGTCACCTGATCCAGACAGGTACACTTTTAAAGTGTTAAAACAGCAATGGGGAATAATGCAACACGACATCATTCAGTTTGTCTCCCACTTTGAACGTTATGGAAAAATTGTGCATAGCTGCAATGCATCCTTCATTACCCTTATACCGAAAATAAAGGACCCTCTACTCCTTGGAGATTATAGACCGATAAACCTGATCGGTTGTTTATATAGGGTTGTATCGAAAATTTTGGCATCAAGGCTTAAGGCGGTTGTAGGTTCTATTATAGATGAAGTGCAACCCGCATATGTAGAGGGTAAACACATATTAGAAAAATTATGCATGCTAAAAATCGACTTCGAAAAAGCTTTTGATTCGAATAATAGGGGATATTAAGACTCAATGATGGAACAAATGGGTTTTAGCAACAAATGGAGGAACTGGATTCGTGAATGTCTCACTTCATCAAGAGCATCTGTACTTGTAAACGGATCCCCAACTGACGAATTCGAAATCACAAAAGGTGTTAGGCAAGGTGACCCAATATCATCTTTCCTCTTTATTATCGCCATGGAGGGCCTAAATTAAGTAATAAAAACAACATTGGAGAAGAAGCTCATTATTGGAATCACACTACCAAATCAAGGCCCTTCTCTCTCCCATTTATTCTATGCAGATGATGTTATCTTCCTTGGTAAATGGGATAATTGTTACATCAAAAACATTGCCAGAATCTTGAAGTGTTTCCACATCACGTCTGGACTTAAGGTAAACTTTCAAAAATAAAGGTTGATTGGTATTGGTATTTCTGATACAGATTTACATCGGCAAGCTCAAGTCCTAGGTTGCAGTCAAAGTGCGTTCCCGTTCACCTAACTTGGTGTGCCTGTAGGGGCAAATATGGCACTAATAAAAAACTGGCGACCAATCATTGAGAAATTCCAGTCAAGGCTATCTATCTAGAAGGCGAAAACTCTATCATTTGGAGGCCGACTCACTTTAATCAAGTCAGTCCTTAATAGCTTACCCACATACTACCTCTATTTGTTAAAATTACCTGAAGGTATCATTGTTGAATTAGAGAAACTCCATAGAAGATTTTTGTGAGGTGGTGATGACATAAAATCCAAAACACATTGGATAACATGGGCCAATGTATTCACTGATAAATCTAAAGGAGGTCTTGGGGTTGGTACCCTAAAAGCGCAAAACTTGGCCTTATTAACCAAGTGGTGGTGGAAATTGAAATCAGGGGATTTTTTTTCTCTGGAAACAATGCTTGGTTTCCATCCACAATATCATCAAAATACCAGTCACAACGATTGCAAAAAACTCAAACGGTGTTTGGTGTAACATAGCCAAAGCACTTAAATCTCTATCGTCCTTTAATGTAAATTATCATGATTTGTTAACAGTCAATCCAATTTCCAAACATAGTTTCCTTTTCTGGAAAGATAGGTGGTGCGGTGATTTAACCTTACAGGAGCAATTCCCGCGATTATATGATCTGGAAAAATTCAATTTTTGCCTAATTTCGGACAGGATTCAAAGTGATGGCCACACATAGAACTGGAAGAAACAACAGATGAACGTTGAGTCATCTGCTGACTTCTTGGCTCTATGTTCGTTATTTGCAAATGTCGATATAACACCGCCAGAGAATGGAATCAACTTCACTTTAAATAAGGATGGCAGGTACACAGTAAAAACTCTAAGGAAACTGGTGGATTCAAAAATCGCAGCCCCTAGCAACAGTGCACAAATCAACTGGTCCAAAGCGGTACCACTCAAGATCAGATGATTTATATGGAGGGCGATCCCTGATAGAATCTCAGTCGCGTCGAATCTGGAAACTAGAGGTGTCATATTACAGTCATCCATGTGCCCTATATGCAAAGAAGAAAAGGAAACATGTGAGCATTTATTGATAAAATGCAAGATCGCAAAGGAGGCGAGGGACTGGATTTTAAAATGTTGTGGCATACCCACGATTTCTTTCAATAACATGACAGAATTACTAAACTTCGTGGCATATTGGGGCAATTGTCCCCGCAAAAAGGAAAGGCTCACTACGGTGATATATGGTTTAATATGGTTCATTTGGGTGGCAAGGAATAATATGGTGTTCAAGCAAATTTGCGCGTCTCCGGCACTGATTGCAGACGCGGTGATCTCCCACACATATGTGTGGTTCAAATAGAACTACCCAGGCTATAAATAGGTGGATTGATTAGAGCATATCTCCATTTTGTTAAAAATTGTTATTATTATATTTTCTCCTTGTACTTTGCTCATGTTCCATCCACTTGCTATCATGAAGCCTTTCTAATATATTTGTCATTTCCAAAAAAAAAAATTACAACATCTTCAACTTGATTAAAAGTCAACCCAACCTCATTAACTTACTTTTTTTAAGTTCACTTTGAGACCAGAAGCCATATAAAAACACTGAATAATTATTATAATGTATCTCCCATTAACATGTACACAATGCTTTGAAAATCGATTTTGAACTGGACCAGAAACCAATGACGAAAGTGGTTCAGCAATGACCGGTTTTATGCTAAGTTTTAGATCAGATCGAGTTGGACGGTTTATTAGACTTAAATAGATGGATTTCACTTAGCTCGTTAAAAAACAGCCAATTTTCAAAGCAAATTGAATAGCTTCATCGATCAAGTTATCTGGAGCGTACAAAACCCGAAATGCACACCACTACCATAACTAAAAAAATTTAGAATTTATATATATATATATATATATATATATATATATATATATATATATATATATATATATAGGAGTAGGAT